GGGGTGTAAAATATTGTACACGATACAATTAATCGGCTGATCTCATCGTTTGATAAAATCTATTTTTATTTATTTATTTTAATGCTCATATACAGTACACGTGCGATAAATAGTTTCTGTATCAACCTACCTTATTTCCACCATATTTTTAGAAAAATAATATCCAAGTAATTTTCACAGGGAAAATATTCAAAAAACAATAAACGCATTAATGCAAAAATCAGTTTTACTTCCTTTTTCAATTCCGCGATTGTAATGAAATCGTATAATGAGAAAAAATAATAAAATCATTTTATTATTAATTAATAATTTTTCTTATAGTACTTAATTAATTAAGAAAATATTAATTATTAAAAAAATACAGTATTTTTAAAGTTAAAATAAGATTAAACTAACGAAAACCAAAAGCAAAGTGATGGAGAGATACGACGCGCTTGTATATTGATGACGTAATACACGTAACTGAAAAGGGAACGAAAAGAACAGTCAAATTAATTAAGTCGGAAAAAAAAGTGTGCATTATAATCGAGAAAATGCGAGTATTGTATTAGATTTAATACCAGTATTTTAAAGATTGTCTTATAAATAATATCATGACGATTCCTGTAACTCGGGTTATCCGTTAAGAATAAAATACAATACTAATATAGCCCTATCGTAGAAAAAATTCGCTTATTTTTGCTCGCCTCGAGTTTTGCTCAGTAGAAATAGCTAAAAAGTGCGCAAAATACGTACGAAAATACGGTATTACGGCACCACCTGTATTGGACGACCACCTGCCTAAAAGACCACTTTTTGAAGGAACCGTGGGTGGTCGCCATAGACAGGTTTTACTGTATATATATATATTTTTTAACTTTTTGTATTTACCAGTCTGGTTAGCTGCTAAAAATTATATTAAAAATATATAAACTTTGATAAAACTTCGTAGTTATCCTTTTCACTTTCCCAACTTTTCATCCAAGTAGAATGTTAAAATAACCGTAAACTGTTATTAAAAACTTAAAATTATATTTATGTATAAAATTTATATTACATTTATTTTTACGCAAGTATAATTTTAAACATATGTATATCAACCTGATTCAATTACAAATACCAAATTAACTTAACTGTCAGATTACCTGGCTGTAACAAGACTAATTTAATGATTAGATATAGCCAAATTGTTTTATATCTAATCATTAAATTAGTCTTGTTATGGCCCAATAAATAATTTGATTTTAGCATTTATCATCAATGAATTTAATTCCCTAGTGTAAAGTTGTATCTGATAAATACTGTAATATCTTAATTTTTTATTGTTAAGAAAATGTTTCTATTTTAATAATTTGACACATTAATAGTATACAATAGTAAAAAATGAACCAAACTTTTGGCACAGTTTTTATCATAGTGCACAAACTCTTACACTACAATCTGTAGATACACATCTCTGCCAGCATCTGTAGCACTTGTCAAAGCAGTTTTCTGGAAGTTATTTATTTTTATTTTTTTCAATACCTTTATGGGCCTCATTGCTGCAGCTTTCACCTCTGTTGCAGATAGAAGTTGGAAAGGTTGCATGATCCACTTTTATTAGGAACAGTGGAGGGGCAAGATTGAGGAAACATTGTCCTTGGTCAGACATAAACTGGGAATGACCAAATGCAAAAGCTGCAGTAATGAGTCATTAAAAAACCATCACAAAAATTGACTTTTAGGACTGCTAGTGTCATATCACTTGTCAAAGCAGAAATGTATAGTTATTGGAATGGCTTATGTTGAAAGTAATATCATATTTGTGTATTGTTTAAAAAAACCTGTGCCAAAATTTTATTTTGGCTATGTTATATATANAAATTATTCTAGAAACATTTCACAACAAAAACTTCGTTCTTATCTAGCTTTTTATTCTTCTCGGATGTAGAAAATGAAGTAACGGTAGCCAACTACAGCTTTCCGCACTCAATATTGGCCCAACGATTCATCATACAAATACATGATAGCGTTGCCAGATGTTTTTTGCCCTTGTAGCCAAATAATTTTTTAAAAGTAGCCCAAAAGTAGCCAACTGCTCGAGCAGTCGGCTACTTTTAGGCTACTTCTGTACAAGGTTTTGTTCTACCTAGTACTTTTGTACTAATCTAGTACCTTTTTACTTGTCCCAGTACCAAGATACCCAACACCATTTTCCTAGTACCATTCATGAAATCCTAATACATTTCCTTTCAAAATATTCATTTTTATTCTATATTTCTGTATTTTTTTTANTTTATTATTAAACTTTTAATCTATACTTAAGAAACAAACTGAACAGCACTAATTTAAAATGTTTTTGTTCATGCTTAAAAATTAATTTGATATAATTATAAATGCAAAATGTGATAAAATGACACTTCACAATTGTTAACTAAATTGAACAATCCACATTTATTAGAAAGACATCAAAATTTGTAAATGTAAGAGCTATCTAGAAAATTGGTACCAAGATATCATAAAAACTAATTGTGAAATTATCTGTAGCATTACAAAATCTAGAAAATAGCTTGTGCCTGTGCTTATAGGAAATCAATAATAAAAATTGCATTGTGCAAAATATTATTTATATTACTTTGATAATGGTTCTCATCTTCAAGGTTATTATAGTCAATGCTATTACGAGTATATTGATCGTGTGTATCTACAGCAATATAATTTGAAAAATTGTGTTAGGAATTTGAAATTTTAGTGTACGAGAATATTTTTAAAAGTGTGATTATTATGACAATCTACCAAAATTTGTTCGTGTAGACAATTAAGCAAAACTTTTAAATGCAATGCGATCTTGAGAAATGTTTTTGGTAATTGAAAATCTATTGTTGATATTCAAAATTAGCCTGTGAGAACTTTTATGATTTTTGCATCACAGACAATGAATGCCATAGTCAAAATGCATAGCCTGGAGCCATTATCATCATAACTGTTTTCTAAATAAGGAAATACTCTCTCATCTCTTCAATATACCATCCAATGCATAATACATAGATTGCATCAGTCATTGACATATTTTATTAATAATTAGATGCTGATTCGGTTATGTTTTGAATGTAATTTTATCACAAAAAAGAATGATCTTGTTACCTTATTTTCTAGACAGCCTGGTATGTAAATTTTAACATTTAAAACAGAATTTTACAATAGATTTATATAAATATAACAGACTCAACTTTTAACAATGCATAAATAAAATATACATCATATCATGAATGATCTCTATTTGTATGATTGTCTGCTGGTCAATCAGCATAATATCGTGAATATATTTCTGTAATGATTCCAAATGGATAAATTTTACAGTTACGGACAGATAAATAAAATCTCTTCATTTAAAATAATAATCTATATTATTTACAAAATCTTTTTAAAAGTTTTCTGAATATAAAAAATGCCTTTAATAACAAATATACATATATCTTTATATAAATACATAATAAATTACTCCATGAAACAAATGTGGAAGACAAATAATTCAAACAGAGATTGATAAACTTGAATTTTAAGATTCTTTGAAATTATTTTTCAAACGTTAATGCATAAAACATTCCGAAACAATAACTTATATTAAAAATATGTTTTCACAACCATTGTAACTAATTTTGTCCAAAGAGGCACATATCTATCTGCTTGCTGAAATGTTTCTTCATTAACTGTCTTTGAAAGGTCATACAATCTTTGCTGTTCCTGCATCAGAAATAATTTTGAAATATATTAATTAATTAATGAAAAATTATATATTATAAAATTATGATATTTGAAATTTACTTACAAAATGTAATTCTTCCTGTAATTTAGTACTGTTTGTAACAATAGCTACTTGAGCCTCTAAATCTCTATATACAGATCTGTAACCTGTGAAAATAAATTATGTATATTCATATATTTAAAATATGAAAATTTAAGCAAAAATGATAACAATTTTCTTGAAAAATAATATATATAAAATTTAAATTACCAAAATTTGGTGATCCAATTAGAGATAGAGATGGTAATTTTTCACCGGGAAGATAATACCATAATCCTTTTACATGGAAAGTCCATTTGTCTTTGTAGTATTCCATTAATTTTATTCTTGTTTCTTCTTTCTGTCTTTGTAATCTCTCATAAAATTTTTTTGCTATGTAAGTGTATGCTGATGGAATAGAACCAGCTACACCTGATGCTCCATAAAATCCATTTACCTAAAAGGAGATATAATGTATATGAAACATTATATATTTTGATATAATTTTTTTACATTATTATCAATATTTAAAATGTAATGTAAAATAATTTTTAAAAGTGAAATATTTTAAATTTTATATCCATTTCTTATGACATTTTAAAACTTTAAATATTTGGTTATTAATAATAAATACAATATTTAAAGCATATGATAAATTAATGTGCTTTTCATTAAATTATAATAATTTATGTACTCAATTTTATAGTTGCAAGATTTTAATTATTTAGTCTAATATATATAAATTGTAAAACCATTTATAACAATGTTTTTCTTAGTATGAAATAAATCAAAATTTCTGCAATCATAAAATTTAAATTCAATAAATGAAATGTTCAAATCAGCCAAGTAGACTTTATCATATTTGGTCTTTAATCCATCTTTAGCTTTCATAACTATTTCCTTATCTGATCATTTCTGGAGTGTTCTATCATTATCTGAATAGAAAAATCATCACTGGAATAATTACCCATAAATTAAATAAATTTTGTAATGTTAGTGTAACTATTATTATCATCATATATATTTACATCTTTAAATTATTACAAATTATTTCATCTAAACTTTTCAGCAATACCTGATAATTAAAAATTTATGTTTGTAGGTGTAATTTTATACTGAACAGATTTCTGCTTCATTTTTTTTCAGTTTAAAACAGCCATCTATCTGGCATGTATTTTGTTTTGTTGTAATACAAATAAATGATAAATCAAAAAATTCTCTGTATTTTATATTTATATATAGCTTACATAATTTTTCTTATTTTAGATTATAGTATAATAAAAGTACATTACACTAATTGTTAAAATTATGAATCAACTAGTTCATTCAGGAATACACGAGTTTTGCCAATATAAAGAATGTATAATGTAAATAATTCAATCTTTAAACAAATATATTGTATAAATTTATTCAAATGAGTTAATAAATCCATACAAAATATTTGTAATACTATAATATTGTGAAATGATTTGTTATTATATATATATATAAAATCTTTTAAATAGGCTTATTCCTCATCAATCAATCAATACATAGGGAGATAGCACTGATGCTTAGTCTGAAAACAAGACATTTTTCTACTGCAAAACCAGTTCTTATGTTTGTTATTTTATATATCAAAAATTCAAATACTGTATCTGTACAAACAATTTCAGTTTAAATACTATAAAGAAAATGCACAAGTATTTTCTTTCAAAAAAACTATATAATTCATGTTTGTCAGTCAATGTTAAATTGAAGGACAACCATGAAATTAAATATGAAATATATTGAATAATATAAAGTAAAACTAAAAACATACCTGAGGTGATGCCATTAAAATATCATAATTAGCTAATGAACCTTGAATAATGATATCCATGTATTGATCAGTCAAATTAAAGTAACCAGATGCTAACTTAATAGTAGAATTTGGAGTGGCTTTCATTAATATCAATTGTGTTATATTCTCATCTTGAGTTATTTTCAAAGGATGCATTTGTAACAGGGGATATATCCAAGTATCAATTTCACTTTGATCTTTAAATGTTTCATTTGGTGTATCACCTATAGCACCATTACATTCTAATAAAGGTTTTGGTTTATAATTTGGTGTTGTAAATTTTTCCAATTTCTGGCTTGCTTTTTCAATGAAAAGATCTTTATCACCTATAACAGAAAAAAAATATAAACTTCATTAATGACTTAATTAATGTTTAATTAATAGGAAGTATAATTCACAAGACTTGTTTATAAAATCGTACTGCCTCATGTTCTTATCAGCATAGAGGTATGAAGGAGTACATGTAGAGAGTTGATATTTGGCACAGAGTATTAGGTGCCCAAATCATTTGCACATAAAAAATCCAGACTTGTAGGTAGTCAGGGGACCGAGAATCGAGTCAAAATAAAATCCAAAATGGCAATCCTCTTCTACAAACAGGCAAAACAGCCACCTCACCCCACCAAAGTCAGGTAGGAGAGAGTACCACCTGCAGTCATTCTAAGAAGTGAACTCTGACCTTAGGACTGAGGGTGCCTGCGCGTGACCTTCGCCCTTTGACCTCACTTTGTTCCTAAAGTCTAATGAGGAGAGACATCTTTTTACTACCTTTCGATTCGACAGCCGTGCCAATCTTGGATTTATATTATATATCAACGCTGTTGTAAATATCACTCTGCCGATACAAATTAATTAAGTAAATTATCAGTTTTTTTTATAAATTTTTAACGACAGAACAAAAGACAGAACACATGGTTGAGGTCAACGTGGACATCAGGGACAAGGTAGGAGAGAGATTTTTTCACTTCAGGTTAATTGACCATTCTAGTCGACAGCCGTGCGATCTGGGATTTATATTATACATCGACGCTATTGTAAATATCATGCTCCCGATACAAATTAAGTAAATTTTTACCGACAACATTCACCGAAAATGGCTCGTGGACGACTTTGTGGTCGAGGCAGGTGAAGTTTTAACGATTGCGCCTAAAAGCAGCGATATCAAAGAAGATAGGAGAATGAGAACAATCATCAAAGTGCCTTGAGCATCAAAGTGATTCCATCTCCGAGACATAGTCTTGTCCCAAATACGGTTTTGCCGTTTTACTTGTTACATAATATTGCTAGTTTTATTTGAATATTTTATACATTTATAATTGCAATACTATTTTTTACATGTATTTTAATGAAAAATAAAAATGATTAAGAATTTTACAAATTAACACTTTTCTCTGGTAGTACAAGGCATTAACATAGAACTGCTCCAACTTACTTCTTAGTCATTAAATTTCCATGAAAAAATTTTTGTTTAAAAAATTTTGAATTTCCTTAGCATCTAATTATTTATTTTTGAAAATTTTTAACAATTTTATAATTGTTTAGACTCAATAAACAATATTTCTATGTAATGCTTCGTGACTAACTTAAAAGCAAAATTATTATGTTACATTTTGAAAAGTCTGTAATTTGATTCATAATAACATTAAATAACAGAAGATTTCTATCATTTTATTTTAATATAAATTAAAATTTTTCTGAATGTAATAGAAAAATTAAAGACTAATATAAATTAAATACAAAAGCATTTTGAAGTCTAAATATCTATTCACAAGCAGACTTTTATGATGATCTCTGCCAAACATATACAAATTTTTTTAAAGTCTCTTTGACATTTTCTGATTTTTGTTTTTACACAGAAAAAATTTTACAATTCTAGACTGTAATGTATTGGAAAAAACCAAAGACTAAATACAAAGAATAGCCTATAAAGAAAGTCAATTCTGCTAGTGTTGTGTTCCAATGGTAAATGAACGTTCAAAGACTTCAAAATGTTTTTGTATTTAGTCTTCAATTCTATAATTCAATAATTTGTCAGAAATAAAGAAATTACAGTTAAATAATAAAAA